CGGGGGTGCGGGGGTGCGGGCGTGCGGGCGTGCGGGCGTGCGGGCGTGCGGGCGTGCGGGGAGGGGAGACGCACTGGTGCGATCCTTGTTGTAGGCGAAGCAGACAACCGGAGCCGGGGGGTTGACGAACTGCGTGATGGAGGTGCTCATGGTGGCGATGTGTGCGTGTTTTGCGCGCGGGGCAGGAGGAGGTGGAACCAAAAACTACGCCGACGAACGCGTGTGATCGTGTCAGTTGGCCGACAGGCGGGCGGGGGAGAGGGGGGAGGGGGGAGGGGGGGGTGGAGCCGATGGGTGTAGGAGGGGCGCAAGCGGGGCAGGGCGGGGCGAGGAGAAAGGGAGGACGAGCGACGAGGCGACGGACCAGGAGAAGGGGACTCTGGTCAGTCTACCCTGAAAATGGATTGTGCCCCCCAGGCCCGCGGCCGGGACGCCAGGGGCATGTCCCAGAAAAGTGCCCTTGAAGCAAGTGCCCCGAAGGGGACGCATCGCCCTGTGCCCTGCGCCCGTCCCGTCGTCCCCCCTCTCTCCTGCCGCGACCCCCCCCCCCCCCGCCCTGCCCCGCCCCCTCCCTCCTTGCCTTCGCTTGTGTGTCCGTCCCTGCGCCTGCCTCCTCTCGGGGTGGGCTGGTCGGGGAAAAAAACCCTGCCCCCCAGACACTCCGGGGAGGGACGCCCAAGAGGAGGGTGTGGTGAGAGAGAGAGAGAGAGACGCGCGAAAGGCACGAACCGGGCACAACGCCCGCCAAGGGCCGCCCAGGGCCGCCTGGCCGCTACCGCAAATGGGTGAACAATGCTTCCTCATCATCACCCTCGCCCCCCCCCCCCCCCGTCTCCCCCACTGTTGATGGCCACCGGGGGGGGGGGGGGGGGGGGGGGGGCGAGAGGCCGGAGACGGGCAGTCAGGAAAAATAACAACCGCCGGAATGCGCACTCGGGAATGAGCGTCTGGAGGGAAAGCTCGAGCAACAGCAGAATGATGCGACAGGAAATGGTGTTCCCTTCTGGGGCGTGATCCCGGCGGTGTGATACAAATATGCGCGCCTGGCCAATCACCGATGTCCAGCGGAAGCGCGTCGTCCGACACCCCACGGCTGTCCCCCCGAGAGGGAGAGGGAGGCGGGCCCCCCAGCGCCGGGGCGTGAGACAAAATTTCCCCCCACACGATCCCGGGCCTCGGCTCCGGGAAATCCCCCACCCCCTCCGGGGCCCTCCTTTGGCTGCCCGCATGCCTGCCTGCCGGGGAGGGGCAGGCGGCCGGAGCCCCGACCGCGCCCGCGCCCGCGCCCGCGCCCCCCTCCGCCAGCCGCCGCTGCCGCCGCCTCCCCTCCTCGGGCCCTGCCTGCGACCTCCGGCAGTCGCGCAGACGACCGGTGTGTAATTGCTTTCCTCAGGGGCCGGGGCGCCTCGGGGTGTGCACCTGGCCGGGGCGCGGTCATAGACGACGGTGGGAAGGGCAAGGGGAGGGGAGGGATTCGCCGCCGCGCTCAAGGCTGGAGCAGCCCGTACACACAAACGCCCGAGCCAGGGGGGGGGAGGGGGGGGGGGGGGGCATCAACAAAGGCGCCCCCGATGCGGGAGGTGCTTCGAACCCCATCTCGGTGGCCCGAGCCGCGCTGCGAGGGCGCAGGGGCGGCGCGGGGGCCGAGGCGCGGGGGAAGGCTTGGGTGGACGCGATTGGCTTGCACACAAGACAGAGTCGGGGGACCGCGCCCGCGAATGGAAGCCGGCAGGCAGTCCCGGGGGCGGGGGGGGGGGGGGCGGGACCATCCCAGGGCAAGGAGGAATCCCCCCGGGGAATTCCCATTCAAATCAGCACCGCACAAACAGATCCTCCCAGGCGCGCGGAGGGCACACCAGGCAAAGCCCACCGGCCGGGCCACTTTACGCACCCCCCGATCGCCAGCAATGCGCCCCGCGCGGTGGGGCTATGTGTAACCAAGCAGGACGGCGGCCAAGAGGCCAGGTATGCATGCCACGAAGGAGGTAGCGACAGCAGCAGCAACAGCGCCGGCGCCCCGGCGCCGGCGGCCGGAGGTCGCACAGCGAACGCAGCACACAGACCCCCGGGAGGGGCCGGGCGCAGGGCAGCCGGGCTTCTCTGGTGTTCTCCTGTGTGGCCTTTTTTTTTCCAGACGATGGAAGAAGGAACGCCATCAAGCATACGGAGATTCCAAAAATGGCGGGCACTAAAAATGCGGATTAAACTAGCCACCACATACAGGCACACATATCTAGAAGGGCGAGAAACGAGCGGCGCACATGCGCCGGCCCGCACCCCCGCTCCCTCTCGCGCCCTGCGCTCGCCCCGTGCCCGGGCCGCCACTGGCAGATGCCGCACCGGAGGAAAATCATGAGTGGACATTCCACTGGGCTGCCCCTCGCGCCCCTCGCGCCCCTCGCGCCCCTCGCGCCCCCCCCCTCTCTCTGCCACTCTCTCTCCGCCCCGTTTTATGGGACTTGTTCCCTCGTGCGCCCTGCCCCACCCATGCCAATCGCGGGGCATGACAGTGCCGCGGCCGGGGCGGCTGCGGGAAAAGGGCAGCAGGCCCCCGCACGGCCGGACACGCGCACGCTCACCCACACCCACACATGCATTGTCGACAGATGATGTGCACCCGTCGCTTGGGCCCCGCCGTGGAGGGGGCGGGGGATGGTATAGAGGAGGGGCCGGGGGGGGGGGGGGGGATGTGCCTGGCGTCTCGTCGGTCAGCACCCTGCCGGATATTTTGTTTCATTTGGCGTCCAGCCAGCTCGGTGTGCGGGGATGGGTCGATTTTAGGGGCGAGAGGGGCGACAAGAGGCGGTCGGGTCGGCTCGGCGCGGGAGCCCGGAGGCCCGGGGTGGTGGGGGCGCGCCGCGGGAAAACGAGGGACCAGGTCACACAGCGCAGGGGGCGTGCCCCTGCCAGTCTTTCGGGCGACCATCCCGACCCAGACGAAGGGGGGCCCGGAGGAAGAGCAGGAGGAGGAGGAGGAGGAGGAGGAGGGGGGGCATGTCAGTCGCCTAGATCGCCCTCCGCCCGGACCGTCTCCCTGGCCGAGAGTGCGGGAACGTCCCGGCCCCACGGCCGAGAGGGGAAATTGCAATCAAAATTCCAGTCCTCCTGGCGAGTCGCCAGGCTGCTCGCTGCGGGGAAGAGGCTGGGCAGGGGGCGTGGATGGGGTGAGGGGGGGGGGGATAGAGGACCCCCCCCCGCCCATCGCGTTCTGCTTCTTTGCGGCCCCGGTCGAGCGGGCGCCTTTTGCCTTCTCCCGAGCAGAGGGATGTGCTGGAATTCCCGGCTTGTCACCTGGAACGCCCCCAAGCGGGGGCCCCGGGGTTTGTCTATTCGCCCGAGTGGCCATCTCTCGGACCAAGAGCACTCGCCGTCGCGATCGGGCTCGTTCCCCTCGCCGGGAAGATGCTTCCGGAGCCGGCAGACCCGGCGAGAGCCGGGATCCCTCCGGACGGGGAGGAACATGGCTCGTACTCGCTCACCGGTGTCGTCCCCCGCCGGCTCTTTTCGCCACTGCCTCCAGCTGCGATGCATGGATGCATGCATCCCTGCGTGCGTGCGTGCGTGCACAAACATCCATATGCGCTCCTATGCGCCCTCGTTGCCACGGGCCCGCCGGGCCGGCATGAGGGCCGACCGGAGCCCGGCTGTCCACCGGCCCCGGTCAACGTCCTCCCCCCGTCCGTGCTCCCCCTCGGCAACTCCGGGTGGCGGGCTTCGCCAACCTGTGCCTGTTGCCCTGTGTGCTTTCCTCGGTGTCCGGCTCAAGGGACTTGCGACCTTCTGCACAAGGGAGACACGCCTCGGGGTCGGGGCCCGGCGCGGGGCAGCCAACGCCGGCCGACTCCGCTCCCGGCCCCCGGAAATGGAATGTCCAAGAGGATCTCCCCGAGCTTCCTGTTGAATTGGCCTGATGTACGTCGCCGCCGTCCTGCACGGCCAGGACACCTCCGCAGGTCAGGGGGGCGCGCCGCCACAGGCACCGGCAAATCTCCCGACGCGACATACGCTCGCCCTCAGGGGCAACACCGGTGCCGGGGTTGGTGCCCGGCCGGCTGGTGCGCCGCCCGGCAGCGAGCACCTCCCCCGGGGACGCGGAGTCCGACGGCCGAGGCGGTCAGGCACGCCTCCGGGGAGGATGGGCACAAGCGATCGCCAGTGCGCCGCCGCCCCTCCCCCCCCCCCCAGGGGAGCTGACCCCTCGCCCCCTCGCCCTCTGGGTGCCGTGCTCTCCCCCCCCCCTCCTCGTAGGTATATAAAGGAGGCCCTTCGGCGTATCCGAGAGAAGGGGAGACAACGAAGTTGTTTCCTGAATAATTTCCTTGCACCTTCCCCTCCCCCCTCCTCCTCCTAGCCAGTATGTCCCGAGCCTTTCCTTCACCGCGCGGCCCTGCCTACCCCCCACCCCCCCCCTCTCTCTCTCTTTCGCCCCCGGCCTGGTCTCTCTGCCTTCCGCCATCGACACCATCACTCACCCATGTGCCCCCCCCCCCCCCCCGCCCCCGCCTCCAGCCATGTCCGACAAGCCCGCCACCAACCAGCCCCTCCTCAACGAGATCAACGCCGGCAGCGCCAAGGGCGGTCTCCGCAAGACCTCCACTGCCGAGAAGGTCTGGAAGCCCTCTGCTGACGACCTGGCCACCGACAAGAAGGAGAACGCCAACTAAAGGCCTTCGCCATGTCTTCGTCGAGGGCCGGCGTCGTCTCCCTCGCACGGGGTGACACCCCTCGCGGCTTCGGTGGTGTGTGGGCCCTTTCATCGGGGCCCGCCCGCCGCCTCGCTCGCCACCGGGTATCATGCCCCCTGTGGGAGGGAACGCGCATCCTCGCCTCCACCGCGTGCGCTCTGTGACTGTGCGACTTGCTCCATCCTCCTCCTCCTCCTCCTCCTCCTTCTCCCTTGCGCTCGTGTGTACACATGTGTGCAGCCCTGTCTCCCTCCCTCCTCCCACACGGGTGTCTAGTTTGCCCCGCGTGGTAGTGGGTGGTGATGGGGGGCGGGGGTGGGACCGAGAGAGAGAGAGGGATGCGCAAGTCTGCCGCGCGTGGCTGCCATGAGCGCCGGGACGCACGGACCATCATGCATGTGCCTGCCTATGTGCTTGTGTATGCGTGCGTCCGTGTCCGGCGCTCACCGGTGCCACGCCTCTCCTCCACCACCCTCCGGCAGCCTGTCAATGACGAGGAAGATGCCAGCGCCATCCCCCCCCCTCCGTAGAGAACTCCTCACTGGTTTGATGGAGCCATCACGAGGTGCTGCCATGTCCCCCCCCCTCTTTGTCCTCCACAGAGCCGCTGGCCGTGTAGGGGAGAGTGTGCCTTGCCTGCACACTCAGTCATGCACCGATCCTGTATAATACAATACCCCGCTTCAGTCTTTGCTTTGTCTCTTTTCTTCCTGGCACGGGGGAGACGCAGATTCGGCGCGCCTCACAAAAGACCTCCTTCGCGCATCTCCCGGGAGCTGGTCTGGTACCAAATGCGTGCCGGCCAGTCGGAAGGGGAGGGGGGGAGGGGGGCGTGTCCGAGGAGAGGGAGCCACGAATGCGACAATGGGACGCCTGCTGCTGGGCGCTGGGGCGGCCAAAGGGAAAACCAGGTCATGGGGGGAGGGCGAGCGACAAGCAGTGTCTTCCTGACAAGAGGCAGCATTTTCGGGCTGCGCACTGGGCAGAAACCCGGCCGAAGGTATTCGACACTGCGCATGCCTGACCCCCCCCCCCCCCCCCCCCCCCCCCCGGCAGGTATGGAGGCGCACAGGGGACCTTGGGGGCGGGGCGGGGAATATATTTGGCAATCGCCGGTCCAGGCTACGAAAGCAAGAGCGCCATTTTCCCCGTCATGAGCCGGGATCCGATTCCCCCCCCAGTCCCACGGGAAAAGCCAGAACAGCGGCCCCTGTTCTTTCCTCGTTCGCTGGTCCGATCTCGCCCGGGCCATTTTTCGACCCCACAGGTCTGGCCCCGGGAATGTGCAGGTCTAGCGCGATCGAGGAGGCATTTTTGACATCCGGCCTGTCCGCACGTGATGCAGCAACACACCCGCGGCTTCAGAACTGCCGGGCTGACGGTCTGGCAGCTGCGATCTGGACCGGGTCTCGACCGTGGTGCCTCGCACCGAGCACGCACGCCCCCGCCCCGCCGCCACCGGCATTCCCTTTCTTCCCGCCTCTCGCAGGAGTGTGGGACAAGCACTGGGCGGGGGGGGGGGGGGGGGGGGGGACGGCCTGGCAGCCTGGTGGCTGAAGCGTGCGTGAGACTGGCGTATCTTGCTTTTGTTTTCGGCCCCCAAGCCCCCTGGCGGGACGCCTCGGGGCATCGAATGCCCCTCCCGTCCCGCGGGACTATCGGTTCGCGGGCCGTCCTGGTCACAGCCGCGGCATGTGGGGGGAACATGCCGCGCGCGAAACCCCCTCCAGAGTGGTGTGCGCGGCTGGCGAATGGGGGCGAGCCCGGTGGAAAGAGTGTTACGCCCAGTGGCGGAGCCATTCCGTGGCAGCTGCCTCCGCCCTCCGCCCCCGCCTCCGCCTCCGCCTCCGCCTCCGCCTCCGCCTCCGCCTCCGCCGTGTGCATGCCCCCGGCGTCTCTCTCTCGCTCTCTCTCTCCCCCTCTCTCACCTGCTGCTTCTGATCCCAGGAGAGGGAATGAGGCTCAGCTGGACGGGCGAGCCAGGGACTCTGGCCACGCCTTCCCACCACCTCCCCCACTCTGCTATGGTGATATACACCGGCGCGCTGCTGAGCTCTGTGTGCGTGCGCGCGCGCGCGCGCGTGGCGGAGGGGATAAAGCTAGAGCACGGAAGCGGAGCACCCTCGCCACACGAGAGGGGCAGAGGGAGGAAAGGGGCACACAAGAAACGGGTTTGGCTTCTTTTTTTTTGTCGTGGATCTATTGTTGCCGGGTGAGCACACCGCACACGGCGCGGGGCGCACGAACATGCGTACTCACCCAGGCGGCGGACAAAAAAGGAGAGGAGAAAAAAAAGGGACCCAGAATGAAGGGGAGAGAGAGAGACGGGGGGGGGGGGGGGGAAGGGGGGGGCAGGGGGAATCCTTCGGAGCGAAGTGGGGGATGATGACAGCAAACCGGGCGTGCCGCTCAGGCACACCCGGGAGGCATCACGCGCGCATCCATACCCTCAACAGAGCTCTCGAATGGCGTTCCCCCTCCCCCCACGCCCACCCCCTTCAGGCCTGATTTCACGCGCATCTGCGGTCCCGGGGAAAGACTCCTCTCCGCCCGCGGCGCCCACACACATCTCCACACTCCCGGAAAGGGAGAGACAGAGAGAGAGGGAGAGGGAGAGGGAGAGGGAAAGGGGGCAAAGGGAAAAGGTCATTCTCCGGCACCCTTTTCTTACTCCTCGCGCAGGGGAATGTAGAAGACCGAGGCCTTGGCGAAGCCGTTGAACTCCGACGCGGCGGTCAGGGTGTAGGCACCCATGTTGCGGAAGGCCAGCCAGTCACCGATGGACAGGCGCGGCAGGCGGGTCTCCGGCACGATGAGGTCAATCGAGTCGCAGGTGGGGCCCCAAACACTGCAAGTGTGCAGCAGGTCGCCATCGACCTCGCCCTCGGGGGTGACCGACCGGGTGTCGGCCTGGCTGTTGTCGGCGGCGCTGCTGATGGCATCCAGCGCATGGGACAGGGCCGCCTGGTCGAAGGTCCCGAGGCAGGGCTCGCCCGAGCGGCGCAGGACCGCCGGGATGACCCGCGCATGGTCGAACTGGATGCAGTTGAAGGACCCATACACGCCGTCATTGACGTAGTACATGAACTGGTCACCGGGCTGCACGTCGGTGTTGTCATCGGCCGGGAAGGAGAGCACCGGCGGGCCGACCACGAACTCGGTGGAGCCCGTGGGGGAGGCACCACCCGGGGAGGGGGTGGCGATGCCGGCGGCACGGCGTGCCTCGCGCGCCGCCTCGGCAATGGCCTCGAAGTCGTAGGCAGCCCCGCTGTCGGCGGCCGCCAGGCCGGTGGTCAGGGCAGCGGTGGTGGCCGCCGCATCGTCGGCACCCTCATCGGAGCCCGGGACGGCCGGGATGCGCCGGCGGCTGGTGACATTGACCGCCAGGCTGAAGGCCGGCGCGGCGAAAAAGCGCCCCGGCTCGCCGATGAACCGGACCCCGGGCGGGAACCGGGCCAGCTCCGGGCGCAGGGCAGCGGCCACCTCATGGAAGGGAGCGCCATCGACATTGTCGACGCCGGGGAAGCCGCCACCAATGTCAACCAGCTCCAGCTGGGGCATGCCCAGGGCCGCGGCCTCGGCGAAAACCCGACCAACACGGCGGACCGCATACGTGTGCTCTTCCGATCTAACCGGACCCCGGGCGGGAACCGGGCCAGCTCCGGGCGCAGGGCAGCGGCCACCTCATGGAAGGGAGCGCCATCGACATTGTCGACGCCGGGGAAGCCGCCACCAATGTCAACCAGCTCCAGCTGGGGCATGCCCAGGGCCGCGGCCTCGGCGAAAACCCGACCAACACGGCGGACCGCATCGGCGAAGCTCTCGGGATCGAAGCAGCCCGAGCCCACATGGAAGGAGACACCGACCACGCGGACGCCCAGGGCCTGAGCACGGGCCAGGAGAGCGCGAGTGGTGTGGGGATGGGCGCCGAACTTGCGCCCGAAGGCGCAAACGGACTTGCTGTCGTCGGCCAGGATGCGCAGAACGGCCCGGACCCCGGGGTGCTCCTGGCGCATCTTGCGCAGCTCCTCCGCATTGTCGAAGGTCATGAGGTCCACGCCGACGGCCGCCGACTGGCGAATGTGCGACGCCGGCTTGGTGGGGTTGGCATAGATGATGCGCTCCGGGGCCACGCCGAGGGCCAGCACCGAGCGGATCTCACTGATGCTGGCGCAGTCGAAGGAGGCCCCGAGATCGGCCAGGGAGATCGGAAGAGCGTCGTGCATCTTGCGCAGCTCCTCCGCATTGTCGAAGGTCATGAGGTCCACGCCGACGGCCGCCGACTGGCGAATGTGCGACGCCGGCTTGGTGGGGTTGGCATAGATGATGCGCTCCGGGGCCACGCCGAGGGCCAGCACCGAGCGGATCTCACTGATGCTGGCGCAGTCGAAGGAGGCCCCGAGATCGGCCAGGGTCTGCATGAGGCGCGGGTCCGGGCAGCACTTGATGGCATAGTGGGGGACAACGTCCGGGAGCTCCCGGCGCCAGAGGGCCAGCCGCTCGCGGACCACATTCAGGTCGCACACGAAGAAGGGCAGGGCATCGGGATTGGCCTCAGGGCTGGACAGGGCCTCCAGCACCGAGGGGATGGTGGCACCCTGAGCGCGGCAGACCGCCGCCGCGGCCCGGGAGAGGGTCCCGTCGTCGGCGGGTGCGGCGCCGGCCTGGGCGGCCGTCTGGGCCGCCAGCGCGACCGCCTGGTCGCAGCAGGCGGCCGCACCGGCCTCGGTAGTGGTGTCAGGCTTCTCCGAAGCGCAGGCGGCGACGGAGAGCGCCCCGGCGCCGGAGGCCGCCTTGTGGGGGCAGCCACCGGCCATGGTGCCGGGGAGTCCGCAGGTGGAGAGGGCCTTCTGCTCGGGAGACATGGGCGGGGAGGGCATGGGCTGGCTGGTCTGCATGACAGGGAGCAAACTGGAGCCGAGCTGGGTGACTGTCTGTGTGTGTGTGCGGGGGGGGGGGGGGGTCAGGGCTGAGAAGGGGCCATCGGAGGCGGGCAAGGGGAGGGGGGAGGAAGCACGGCGGGGCGCGCCGTCGGCCCTTCGGGCACGCACCTATCGGAGAGACACGCACGCACACACACACACGCACGCACGCACACACACGCACGCGGACACGGACGGGGGAGGGAACTAGCCGAGACTGGACAGGGAATGTGGGGGAGAACACATTCAGGGGCCGATGTCGGAGGGGGGATGGCCGGCTGCGGGGAGAGCGCGCCCGAGCGGCGGCGCCTTTTATGCCTGGCGGCTCTCCCCTGCCTGGCCCCCGGGGGTGTGGTGGTGGGGCAGGCCCCGGCGGGGCCAGTGTCCGGCCCGGCGGCCATTCGCCAACAAACAGACACACACACACACACACACGCACACGCACACGCACATACACCCCGCCCAGGCGGGCGTGTGTGCGCGTGTATGTGGGACGCGCGCCAACACTCCGAAGGGAACGGGGCCGGTCCCCGCGCGTGCCTGGGCGGGCGTGGCAGCCGGATGGGCGGGAAACCGGCGACCCGGTCCTACATGGCCCATCACTAAGATCTGGCGCGGGCGCTGGCCGGCCGGCGCATGGCCCCCAGGGGGGGGGGGGACCCTCATGGCCGCGCGTGTGCGCGCGTACGAACCAACACGCCCCGCACCTGTGCCGGCTTGCCGCTCGCCCCCCCCCCCCCCCCCCCCCCCCCCCCCCCCCCCCCCCCCCCCCCCCCCCCCTGCCCCCTGTTTGAGGGCCCGGGGGGGGGAGAGGGGGGGGGGGGGCGAGAGGCCGGAGAC